AGGGGTTTGCCAGCCTTTCCAGGAGTAGGCCTCTTTGAAGCCCTATTCTCCCAGGTAGACTTCGGTGAAGTCCCAATACTCAGAGATAGGTCTCTGAAGCCCCTCTCTCAGGTCTGCTAAGCAGATTCCACTGGAGTAGGCGTGGCACCTCAGCTCTTCAGCTCAAGGCTAGCACTCTACCATTTGAGCCACAGTGCCACTTCCAGCTTTTTTTCTGCTTATGTGGTGCTGAGGAATCGAACCCAGGGCCTCATGCATGCAAGGCACTGAGCCACCTTCGTAGCCCACTTGTAGCATTTCTTGTAGAGCAGGACCACTAGTAACAAACTTCCTCAGACACTGTAGATCTGGCTGTCTAGTGTCTTCATTTCTTCTTCAATTTTTAGAAATACTGCTTTTGTTGTTGGTGGTGGTGGTTGAACTCAGGGCCTGGGCATTGAGCCTTTTTGTACCCAAGGCTAGCATGCTACTACTTGAGCCATATCACCACTTCTGGTTTTTGAGTGGTTAATTGGAGATAAGAGAAAAGAGAGAAAAGAAGTCATTCAAAAAAATTTTTTTTTTCTGTAAAATGAGTCATGTTAGGAGCTCTGTGAGGAGACAATGTCATTTGTTGAGCAATGAGTTGCCAGACTTACTCCCTTCCTTCCTTCCCTTTTTTCCCCTTCCCTCCCTCTCATCTTCCCTCCTTTCCCTTCTTTTCTTCCTTCCCTCCCCTCCCTCCCTCCTTCCCTCTCTCCCTTCTTTCCTTCCTTCCTTCCTTTCTTCCTTCCTTCCTTCCATTCTGGGACTTGAACTCAGAGCCTGGGCACTGTCCCTGACCTTTATTTCCTCAAGACTAGTGCTCTACCACTTCAGCCACAGTTCCACTTGTGGCTTTTGTGGTGTTTAATTGGAGATAAAGAGTCTTACTGTTTCTAGTCCGGGCTGGCTTCCAACTTTGATCCTCAAATCTGACTCCTGAGTCACCAGGATTATAGGTGTGAGCCACTGGTGCTCAGTTCTTTCTTTCTTATACAGGTATTGGAGCTTGAACTCAGGGCCTGGGCGCTGTCCCTTAGATCTTTTGCTCAAGGCTGGCATTCAAGCACTTGACCACACCTCCACTACTGGCTTTTTGGTGTTTAGTTGAAGACTCTCGCAAACTCTTATCAGACATTTCCACCTAGGCTGGCTTTGAACCATGATCCTCAGATCTCAGCCTCCTAGGTAGTGAAGATTACAGGTGTGAGCCACTGGCGGCCAGCCTTGGTTTTTTTTGTGCCAGTACTGGGGCTTGAACTAAAGGTCTCTTGCACTTTTCTCCATCAAGGATATCATGGCAACTTCAGTGACTACAAAGCAGCGCTCAGTTCCACCATTCCAGTGACAGTCTCTATAAAATGGCAGTGACCTCAAATCATGCCTTCTGCTTCAGGTTGCCTTCATTTTCCTGAGAGAGACGAGCTGATTGGCTCCTCTCACCAGGGAAGCTGGATCGGACCATCTTATTGGCCGCTTGCCAGCCAATGGTTGACTTTGCTGGCTCAGAAGCCAGTCTTGGCTGTAGCCAGATAAGAGATGCCATTCCCATGCAAAACAGGGATGAGAGAGAATGGCAGGGAGGCTTGCTGGGAATCTCTCAGGCTGTGGTGATCGGCGGAAGACGCAGGAGATCCCAAATATCAGCTGCTTCTCATCAGACTCCACATTTGGCAAGTCCCAGTGCTCACTGCTCATTCTCGATGCTAGGTGTTAACCTGCCACATTGGGCCCGCCTATCTATACCTACCTGAGGCTTTTTCGTTTTTCCAGTAGTGGGGTTTGAACTCAGGGCTTGAGCGCCACCCTTTAGCCTTTTGTTCAAGGTTAACATTCTACCACTTGAGCCACAGCTCCACTTCTGGCTTTTTTTTTTTTTTTTTTTGGTGGTTAATTGGAGGTAAGAGTCTTTTGGACTTTCCTGCACAGGCTGGTTTTGAACTGCAGTCTACAGGTCTCAGCTTCCTGAGTGGGCAGCATTACAGGCGTGAGCCATGGGGGCCCAGGTGAAATGATCGCTGGAGAGGAAGTCATTCTGCCTCCTGTGTCCTTCTTTGTCTCTCCAGGCCTCTGCTCCCCTCCCCACCCCACTGGCCGTAGAAAGAGATCAGCATGGCTGCTCTACTCCTGCCGTCTCTTCTATTCACCACCCACAGGGATCTTTCTAGGACATAAATCTGACTATGTTACTCCAGCCAAGAGTGCACCCTGTAGGTGCTCCGCTCAGAAGCAGGGGGCTCCTTGCAGCTCTCATGTGGTCCAGAGAGCCCAGCACAGAAATGCGCACCAATTCCCGCCCCTCGGGCATCAGTCACACACTTGTCCCTGTGACCGCAGGACATGTTTCCTCCACCCTCCATCTTCCCCTCCATCTTCCCCTCCCTCTTTCCCTCACATCCTAGAGTCCCTCAGAAGTCCCTACTGTAAATTTTTACGCTTATACCTTCTATATTCTCTGGCTTCTCTGATGGGGGTACCCCTTCAGCCCAGCAAACTCACATTCATTCCTCTAAGCTCAGCTAGGGGTACACCACCTCCACAACACCTAGGCAGACTTTCCAGGTGGCTCCTTCTGGAGTCTTGTGTCACAGGCTTCTGCTGGCCCATGGCCACAGCAGTTTCCCCTGGCTTGGGAGCAGGGACTGTGCGTCCCTGCGCTTCAGGGTCTCCAGACCAAACCAGGGTTAGGCCCACCCAGGTGTCTATGAACAGTGGTCAAAGAACGAATCCCCACTTCCCTCTCTTGGTAGTCTGCCCTGTAGTTATTTTGGTTAAGGTTCCATCCTGCCTCACCTCCTCTATATGGAGTCTGTGCACCAGGCACCAGTGGCTCACACCTGTAATCCTACTCAGGAGGCTGAGATCTGAGGATTGTGGTTCGAAGCCAGCCCAGGCAAGAAAGTCCCAGGATCAGCAAGTGTGCATGTGCAATACACATGCATGCACACGCACATATGCACACACGCATACACGCACATACACACAGCCAAGCAGGAGCAAGAGACCCTGAATTCAAACCACAGTGCTGGCATTTCAAAAAAAAAAAAAAAAGTCTGGGGCTTGGAAGGTGGCTCAGTGGTAGAGTGCTCGCCTCACATGCATGAGGCCCTGGATTCGATTCCTCAGCACCAAATAAGCAGAAAAAGCCGGAAGTGGCACTGTGGCTCAAGTGGTAGAGCGCTAGCCTTGAGCTGAAGAGCTGAGGGACAGCACCCAGACCCAGAGTTCAGGCCCCATGACTGACCAAAAAAAAAGTCTGATGTTGGGCACCAGCCTGTGAGACTTATCTCCAATTAACCACTCAAACCTGAAAGTAGAGCTATGGCTCAAAGTAGTGGAGTGCTAGCCTTGAGCTAAAGAGCTCAGGATCAGTGCCCAGGCCCTGAGTTCAAGCCCTACAACTGACCCCCAAGAAGGTTTGTGGCTTCTGAGCAGGTTGTGCTCTATGAAGAGTCATAGAAGCCGGGAATATGGTAGGTGGTACTCTTATCCATCCAGTATACTGGCTGGGCTGCCAAAGCCCTGCCCAGGTTGACTGCTTTTTTTGTTGTTGGTGGTGGTGGTCCTGAGGCTTGAACTCTGAGCCTGGGCGCTGTCCCTCAGCTCTTCAGCTCAAGGCAAGCGCTCTACCACTTGAGCCACAGCACCACTTCCAGTTTTCTGGTGGTTAATTGGAGATAAGAATCTCACAGACTTTCCTCCCCAGGCTGGCTTTGACCCTCAGATCTCAGCCTCCTGAGTAGCTAGGATTATAGGCATGAGCCACCAGTGCCCGGTTCTGAATGCCTCTGTTGAGGCTAAGCTTCTAGAGAAGTAAAAGACCCCAGGGAGAGCTCTACTTGACCATCCAGTTCCTTCCAGGAACACAGAGCTCCTTGCAGATTTGTGATGTCATGTATTCCTGAGGGCCCTGCTCCTCTCAGGCCTTCAGTTAACCCATCTACCAAATGGGTACAACCACCTCCATCCCTACCCCCCACAGTTTGGGGAGGTGGAGACAGCCCACAATACGCCGGAAAATAAAGAGCCCACAGTCACATCATACAAATAAATGAGGTTGTTATTAGACCCCAGAGGCAGGATCATAGAAAGAAACAGGGACAAAGGTGGGGTGAGTGCTTCAGATATTTGCCCTGCACCCCTTCAGAAGAGGTGTCAGACAGGAGGCACCTTCAGGGCTGGGAGAAGGGCACTGCATCCCGGCCTGACCATGGACCAGTTATTTCCCCCTGGGACTCAGTTTCCTTCCCTGTTCAACAGGGAGGCCCAGACCCTGTCCCACTCTTCCCAAGGGCCTCATTGAGGCGTCAGTGAGAAAATGGGCATGGGAGAGTTCTGCAAACTGTCAAGTACAGTACACTCATGCAGTCTGACTGCCGTCAGGAGAGCCGGGCCCCCACGGGGCCTGGTTAGTATTGGCCATGAAAATACTGTCAGAAGCTCAGAGGCTGGGTCCGTTGAGTTTTCTCTCTGATCTTGACATGTTCTGTCTCCCTTTGTTCTGAGAGAGACTTGATACTGGAAGGATGCAGAGCTGCTGGTCCCAGTACTGACCCCAGCTCTCCGGGGGGTCAGCAGGTGACTTCTTGATGGAGATGCAGTAGTGATATAGTACAGCAGGCCCTGGCTCTGTACTCTTCTTTCCTTGAGCAACGCTCTTCTGATGCACTTCTTTCGGTGTGTGTGTGCCAGTACTGGGACTGGAATTCAGGCCTTGGGCACCGTCTCTCAGCTTTTCTGCTCAAGAACAGCACCCTACCACTTGAGCTACAGCTCCACTTCTGGCTTGTTGCTGATTAATTGGAGATAAAGAGTTTCATAAACTTTCTGCCAGGGCTGGCTTCCAACCTTGATCCTCAGATCTTAGCCTCCTGAGTAGCTAGGATTACAGGCGTGAGCCACTGACATCTGGCTAATGCACTTTTCATACATCTAGATGAAATTCATTTCTTTTTGTCCTGTCTCATTCCTAGGGGAGGGCAGAATGACCCCCGGCAGATTCCTCCTCGTAGCACCCCAAGAAGCCACCAGCTAATGGCTGAGAGCTGCTCTTGCTCCTTCTACCTCCTGCAGACCAAGGCTCAGCAGGGGTGTGAAGGGGGCTACTGGGAGCCCCGATGGCCCCTTAGAGCAATGCCTTGAAGAGGAAGGACAGAGAGGCTCCACAGGACAGTCCCAGGGCCAGGAAGAATGTCATGAGGGCGCCTGCCACTTCCCTCTCATGTGGTAGGACCTGCCTGCAGAACACAGAGATAGGAGCTTAGAAAATGCTGGATCCCTCCCCAGAGCCAACTGGGGCCTTTGCTATTTCTACACAAAGACACGAGAGGCCTAGTCAAGGTCTGACCCTGCCCATGTCCCTAGAAGCTGCCCCTTCCCTGTAGGGGTTCCCATTATAGGGTGTGTGTGGTGTGTGTGAGTGTGTGTGTGTGTGTTGGTCATGTGGCTTGAACTTGAGGCCTGGACACTGTTCCTGAGCCATTTTTGCTCAAGGCTAACACTCTACCACTTTGAGCCACAGCTCTACTTCCAGTTCTCTGGTGGTTTATTGGCAATAAGAGTCTCTTGGACTTTCCTGCCCAGGCTGGCTTTGAATGATGATCCTCAGATCTCAGCCTCCTGAGCTAGGATTACAGGTGTGAACCACCAGCCCCTGGCTTCCCCACTTGTTTTCCTTGTCACCTTTACACTCAAGATTCTCCACTCCCTTGGCATATGAACTCTGCTTTGGAGCAAACGTAGCTCCTCTTCAACTGAGAATGCCGAAGCTAGATGGGCTCTGAGATGCCAATTCAGTAGTAAGAGCTTGAGCCACAGGGTGGCGCCAGTGAGTCCTGCAGCCTGGCAGCTGGGCTGGCCAGGGCACAGGTTCCTCCCCTGCCCCTAATCCTTCCCCTTGGAGCTAGTGCCTCTTACTATACCAGTGCACCCCACCCCTTCCCCAGACCTGGGTGCCAGGCACATGGTGAGGGACACCAGGTAGCCGTTGGAAATGGCGAAGAGGAGCATGAAGGTGATGAAGTAGGCGTCCTGCTTGAAGAGGATGGGCAGCCGGGTTCGCTCGGGCACGTTGCACAGCATGAAGAGTGGCACAAAGAGGAAGCGCAGGCACACGAGCAGGGGCAGCAGGCGGCTGTCCTCTTCTGGCTGTGACAGAGACCTGGGTGAGCCTGGTCCCGGAGGCCCAGGTTTCTGCTCTGGGAATGCCTCAGGAGCCCAGAAGCATAGACCCAGCAATCACCCCTGACCTCCTCTCTCCTCACCCACCATGAGCCAGTGGGGACCCTGCACCAGGCCTCTGAGAACAAATCTGACACTAGATTCATTTCCCCCTGATCTTTCTTTTGTGCTACGTGGCAGACACAGAAGAGGGAGGCCTTTGGCAACATACATTCTTCTCCCTCCGTCCGTCCCTCCTCTCTTTCTTCGTGGGGCTTGAACTCAGGACCTTATGCTCTCACTTGCCGTTTTTGCTCCAGGCTGGTGCTCTACCATTTAAGCCTCCACTTCGAGCTTTTTTTTTTTTTTTGGTGGTTAATTGGCCCAAGCTGGCTTCTTCCACCCCGATCCTCAGAGCTCAGCCTCCTGAGTAGCTAGGATTACAGGCGTTGAGCTGCCAATGGCCACTGGAAAATGGCCTTTCCTAACCTGAGAGCCCTTCCAGCCCCAGCCCGCTCACCCACCCACAGGAAGTAGGAGGTCAGGCTCCGGCCCAGCCAGTCCATGACATTGAAAAGCAGGAAGCAGCAGATTGGGTTGAAGAACTTGCCTGGAGGAAGAGAGAGGGTGTGTGTGGGGGGAACCTTACCCTCCATTCCCCTCTGTGCTCCTTCCCCTCTGCTCCCCCTATCTTCTTTTTTTTTTTTTGGGTCCGATTGTGGGGCTTGAACTCTGGGCTTAACTGCTGTCCCTCAGCTCTTCAGCTCAAGGCTAGCGCTCTACCACTTGAGCCACAGCACCACTTCCAGCTTTTTTCTTTTTGCTTATGTGGTGCTGAGGAATCGAACTCAGGGCCTCATGCATGCGAGGCAAGCGCTCTACCACTGAGCCACCTTCCCAGCCCCTCCCCCTATCTTCTTCTGTGCCCCAAACACTCACTCCACTTCCCGGGACTGGTGATGCTGGTCACCATGGCTGTGATGGCTGGGAAGACAGACAGGGTGGCGGTGAAGACCAACACAAGGCACAGCGCTGTCAGCCAGATCTGGGAGACAGAGGCAGGGGCATGAGCAGGCAGGGCAGCCCCTGGCCCAACATGGAACCCCAACCTTCCCACCCCAGCCCTGCCCAAGAAAACCGGGGGCCTGGTCCTGTTATATCTCTGACCCACCAAATAATCTTAGGGTAAGGAGGTGAGTACTTAGGCCCATTCCAGTTTGAGATTGAAGACAGCAGAGGGCGACCCTCTCCTTCCCCAGGGGCAGTGGTTGGGGGGTGGGGGCCATCTCCCAGCTGAACCTTCCGGAGCACAACCAGCACTGAAGGTTTCTCTGGCTTCTGCGGCTCCTCTGATTCTGGCTCTGGCTCCCTCTCAGGGTCAAGATCTAGAGTCAGGGCTGCCTTCTGCAGGCTGTTGGGGATTCCATTCTTCTCATCTGGAGCAAGAAGAAAGCCCTGAGGTCATGCGTAGGGGTCCTGGTGGGTCCCCTTCCAGCTCAGGTGCAGGCGAGTGGAATTAATGATGACCCCATGACATGTATTTATCATTCATTTGGCTTTGGCATGCTAGGGACTGAACCTAGTGTCTTGTGTTTGCTAAGTAAATGTTCTATCACTGAGCTATGTACATCCTCAGCTATTAGTTTCTTGAGACAGGGTGGCCCTATATCACTCAGCCTGACCTCAAACTCATGCTCCTTTGCCTCAGTCTCCTGAGGGCTGAGGTTACAGGCATGTGACACCACGCCCAATCTATTATTTATTTATTTATTATTTGTTACCCGTTCTGGGACTTGAACTCAGGGCCTGGGCGCTGTCCCTGAGCCTCTCTGTGCTCAAGGGGAGAGCTCCACCACTGAGCCACAGAGCCACTTCCAGCTTTTTCGGAGTAGTTTATTGGAGATAAGAGTCCCACCGACTTTGCTGCCCAGGCTGGCTTTGAACTCAGCCTCCTGAGTAGCTAGGATTACAGGTGTGAGCCACTGGCACCAGCATCTGCTCATTAAGAACATGTATCTGCCAGTAATTTGGCTGGGTTCTCTCATTGCCATGGCTTTACAAATGGAGGAACTGGGGCTAGAGGGTTAAATGACTTGCCCAAGGCCACAAAGCTTGTGAAGCCAGGATTCAAATTCAGATGTGTTTAGATCCAGGCCTGGCATGTATGAAAGTCTACTGGCTTCTCCCTTTGAAAGAGGAGGTAACTGAGGCCCAAGAGCAGCAGGGTTGACTTAAAGCCAAGTATGGTGGTATATGCCTGTAATCCCAGCACTTCAGGGCAGGAGGCTAAGGTGGGAGGATAGCAAGTTCTCAGTCCCTGTAGGCTACATAAAGCAAACACCCTATCTCAATACTTGCCCCTCAAGCAAACCAACAGAAATGACTTGGGTCCCACGATGATCTTCTGCCTCTGCAAATGCAAGGCTCCAAGGAATGGGGCCCAAGATGGGGACAGAAGGGAATAGTTCCCAGGGGAGCTGGCTGAAGCCTTTTCTTCATTTCTCACCTCCCCTGTTCAGACCTGGGATCTTACCAGCCTGGAGGAGCTCAGCTTTGGTCTCTAACTCCTGAACGGGGGTCTGTGATGGCTTCTTAGCCAGATAGTAGCGGGCAAACTCCTGCAGAAGGATAGAGAAGGGAGGTAGGTGGCCTCTTGGCCTCTTTGGGAAATCAGGGCCAAGCACACGTGTCTCCCCTCCCCCCTCTTAAGAACCTCAGATTTAAGGAAGTGGGACACAGGGTCCAATCGCAGGCTTACCAGGTGGGGCAGGCTCAGGTAGCAAACGATGGATATGAAGATGCCCACACAGGGTGTAATGAAGTAGCCGAGGGCGGAAGTCTGGGCATCTACACCGCCTATGGCAGAAAATTCCGCTTTAGAGGTGAGGTAGCTGGTTTCATAGCTCCCTCAGGACCACCAACTCAGGTTACACCTCTTACAGCATGTGCACTTCTGAGGGCCAGGCCCAGCACCCTCTTTTTTTTGGGGGGGTGCCATTTCTAGGGTTTGAACTCAGGGCCTTGAGTTAGCTTTTGTGCTCAAGGCTGATGCTCTACCTGTGTGAACCACACTTCCAGCTTTTTGCTGGTTAACTGGAGATATGTCTTCTGGACTTTTCCTGCCCAGGCTGGTTCTAGACTTTGATCCTCAGAACTCAAGCCTCCTGAGTAGTTAAGATTACAGCAGGGCTACCAGAGTTGGGCTCAGGAATCTTATACAGATCAGACCTTCATTCCTTTCATTTTTCCATACACACCATTTTTGTTGTGTGTCTTCTTACCGTGGGCTGAGCACAGACAGCTACATCACATACAAGTTAACTATTGCACAAGCAGTCCAAATGCTCTGGCCAATGCCTCTGGGCTTGTGATTAGTGAAACAGATTCAAGTTCAAGTGAATCCCTAACTGATCCTCAGCTTCTGCCCACATGCACAAACCCAGGAATCTTGCCCCAGGCCCCAAGTTCAGCCAGCCTCATCAGCTCATTGGTATGAACCAGAGTCTGCTCCCCATCCCCCTGTCTCCATCTAGAACCCCACCATCTTCCTCCTATGCATCCTGTCACCCCCAAGCCCGGAGTCCGTCCCCCCACCTCCCCAGGCCGGTGTACTCACTAGCCATGGACATGAGCATGGCGAGTGCTGCGAAGATCCCAGCGAGGCCTTGGCCACTGAGGAACAGGGTGCTGTAGGTAGACGGCATGGTGCCCAGCTGCCCGAAGAGGCTGCCTTGTAGCACTGCACAGAAGGCTGTGGAGAGACAGGGATGGAGCCACCCAGCCACCCGCCTCCTCTGGGGCTCCCCCCAGCGGCATCACTGGGGTGTAGAAGGGACTCTGGACTGGTGTGGGCGTTCCTGAGGACTCTAGTGCCCATTCATCCCCACTTCTTCTCAAGTATAGCCATCAATCTGTGGGGCCAGTGACCTGCAGGCCTGCCCCGAGGCCGCTGTGGGGCTGGGATGAGGGGCTGCTGCTCTCCCTCTCCGCCTGAGAGTGTTGGCTTCCCTTCTTGGATCTGTAGGGCCTTTTTCTATCACAAACAAGAAGCTTAGGAGAGAAGGGCAGGGAAGTGCTCACAGTTGATGAACCAGACGGAGGCCATAGTGACGGAAAAGAAGGGCCCGGGGCTCACGTCCACCTTGACCAATACTGCTGTCAGAGCAAAGAGGAAGAGGATGGCCAGCAGGCTGCCCAGGATGCGCACAGACTCAGGGATGCTGCTCAGAAGGGTTGGAAGAGGACATTAGACAGACCGCCCCCCCCCCAGGCAAGCCAGGAGCAGGGCAGTGGGGCTAGGGGCTACGTAGGGGGAAGTTGGGGGCTCTTCCTGGGCCTACATGCTGCTGCCTGGCAAGAAGGCTGAGAGGCCCAGGGGTGGGGGTAGAGTCTTACCACTGATACAGGAAGGAGTTGAGGAGGGTGAAGAGCAGTAGGGGCAGCTGGGACAGCAGTGTCAGCCAGTTGTTGAAGTTGTAGGTGTCGGTGGGGCCTGTGTGGTTGGTGCTCAGGTTGCCAGCTGTGTTGTTGACCCCTGCCAGGCGTTCCTGGAAGTACTGGGGGAGGTGGAATAGGGTCAGAACCGCCAGTCCCCCAGCCTTCCTCCTCTCTGCCTGTCCTTACATTGTGACTGCCTGGCTAATGTCCACAGGAATTATCAGTCTTGTCCTTGTCCTGTCCTGTCCCAGCACCTGGCACCCAGCTCCACGAATGTGCGTGGAATTGAACAGCAAGAGTCCGAGATAGAACGAAACCTCGGGGCCACCTCATCTCTTTAGCACCCTGTTCCAGCCCCACCCCTATACCATCGGACAGCAGTCTCTAGGTTCAGCCATTCCATTTTTTATTTTTTTTTTTTGGGAGGGGCTGGTGAATTGGAGATAAGAGTCTCTTGGACTTTCTTGCCAGAACTGGCTTTGAACCCTGACTCTCAGATCTCAGCCTGGTGACTAGGACTACAAGCATGACCCACTGGCTCCCAGCTTACCATGGGTATTTATTGAGCACCTACTGTAAGCCAGGGTCTGGCTGCCGTTGCCACACATCTCAGGAGCACACATCCTGCCAACTTCTGCTTAGTCTCCTTTCACCTTCTACCCAGATTTCTCTTCCCTGCAGACAGAGCCTCGGGCATTTCTGGCCCAGCATCATAGAGCAAGAGGTATGACTCCAATGCTAGTGTGTCTGCCTTGCAGGCAGAAGAGGCTGAGAGCCAAAAATCAGATTCCAGCCTCCCTTTTGTGCCTGGTTTCCTGTTCCAGCCTGTTAAGCCCCAGGGACCTCAGATTCTAGATTCCCCCCCCCCCCCATCCAGAACAGGCAGGCCCTTCCTTCCTCCAGTAGAGAATTTCCTGTTCCTCACAGCCTCTCTTCCTTACTTTACCTATCCTACTCTTCTCAAGCAGAAGAAATGTTTTCCTTCTGCTGGGAATCCACCCCACTGGACTCTAAGCCTGAAACTCGAGTCAAGTTACACTATTAATAGCTCTGGCCCGATCTTTTTTCTCAAGTCCGGAGGCTGATTTCCACTTCACAACCAGTCCCAGAGAGAACCCAAGCTCTACATTTCTGCTTTGCCTTAGAGAATGAATGCTCTGGGCGGAAAGACCCTCCCTCTGCTTAGATTCCTCTATGCTCCCTGTGCCTGGGTCAGAGTAACTGCATATTAGATATGTTGCCAGGCGCAGGTGGTGGCTCACAATTGTAATCCTAGCTACTTAGGAGGCTGAGATCGGAGGATCAAGGTCTGAAGCCAGCCAGGCAGGAAAGTCCTTGAGACTCATCTCCAGTGAAGCGCCAGAAAGAGCTGTGGCTCAAGTGATAGACCTCCAGTCTTGAGCACAAAAGCCCAGGAACAGCGCTCAGGCCCCGAGGCACCAGGACCAGCAACACACACACACACACACACACACGTACGTTTGGGGGATGAGTGTCATCCACGCACTCGGCAAAGGCAACCAAAGCCTTGGGAAATGCACTTTTGGAGTGGCTGGCCCAGAAAGCCTGACAAACTGAGGATCTGGGCGAGTCACAAACCCCTCTGGGACAGACCCCTGGACCCCTGGGACCTGGGTATTTCTTGGTCTGGGAGCGACCTTTCCCCCGACCCTTGGAGCCCCAGGCTTCAGCCTGCAGATGGGTAAACTGAGTCCAGGGCGGCGCGTGTGGAGCCTCGGTGCCAGGGCTGCGCCCGGCGGGTGGGGAGCGGCTGGGCGCGGGGTCTCACCGGGATGGCAGTGATGAAGAAGTTCCAGGGCAGCAGGGTGCCCAGCCCCAGGATGAAGAAGCTGGTCCCGACCAGGTGGTAGCTGTGGGGACCGGTTGAAGGTCACCCCGAGGACGCATGCCGGGGCCTCCCGCCTTCCTGGTCCTCCCTCCCCT